TCTGGCTATGGCTTTGGACACAGTGTTCGAGGATATGCACTTGTCCTTATCTCTAAAACAAGGAAAAAAGCAATAACCCTAAAGTTGTAAGTTCGACCCCAGCCTGGGCAACTTGTTAGGAACCAGCTTCATGAAAAATAAGAGAAGGGGCTAGGAATATATTTCAGGGTAAAGGTCCTGGACTCGATGCCCAGACCAGCAAAGTTATACAGGGTGCTTCATCAATATAGTTGGGGTTATATTCCATTTCTATCACAATCTGCATTTCCAAGTAACATTTCAGTGTCCATTCCATATAAACTACAAAAAGGAAAAAACTTGCACTTGATCCGCAAGTACATCCTCTGCCAACCTTGCTCTTTCAGCCACACATTTCGCTGCTACCAGTTCATATCAGGAGTCCTGGGAACGCGGTTATGGGAAGCAGCCGGCTGCCTGCCAGGTGACAGAAGAATCAGCGCTGTCCCAGAGAAGGGGACTGAGGAGCAGTGAAAAGGCCATTTTTAAAAACAGGTCCACAAGATAGCTTAGCAGACTAAGTGCCTGCTTAAGCAAGCGCAAGAACCAGGGTTCAATCCCCAGCACCGCATTTCTGCCCCATGCTGAGCCAGTGACCAAGTCCGGGCATGGTGGCACATGCCTGTAATCCCAGCGCTAAGGAGGTTGAAAATGGGAGGATCATTATGCGTCTGAGCTGCATAGTGAGACCCTGTACAAAATACAGTAATTTTTTTTTAATAGGCTTCTTGGTCATGGCAGCCCTTCACATAGAGACAGGAAGCACAGGATCTCATGATAGGGGGGTGGCATACCTCATTAGATGAAACTGGAGAGTTTATGGATGGGGAGATGTTCTGGGATTTTTCTACTACAGCAGCCTTGGCACGGGAACAGCTGAGCACTCCAGAGTGCTTGAAAAGTTGAATATATAATTTTGTCCATTTATGAATAGTGGCCACCTACTAGATAGCTAGGTGTAGATCATACAAAATAGAATGCTATTCCATTTAAAAACTTGATCCACAGCATAGTGTTTTGGAAGTGCAAACCCTGGCTAAAGCCTAAAAGATAGCAGCCCTTCGGGCTAAGAGGGTACATTAGGATCCGTGGCAACCTCTAGTTCGTACACCCAATTGGATTAATTAATCTCTAAGATGTTTAAGTGTCTATTGATGTGGGGAAACTGTCATACTTCAGGCCAACACTGGGGTCCATGAGAGCCAGCCAAATTGCTAGATGTAGTTTTCAAAATTTTTTCTAATGTAGTGTGACATCCAGCTGCTACCGATGGCACGCAGTGGTGGTTAGTTCCAGAGTACTTAAGCTGCTTAGAGGGACCACCAGACACTCATTACTGGGTCCCTCCCTGCCCCCTGTGAAATGCTCCTGGACCCTCCCCTGCAGAGCTCCCCTGGCCGCCTCTCAAATGGGCTCCTTCTCCCCAGGACCTCAGCTCAGAGGATTGGCTGTGAGGCCCAAAGCTGCAGGGCTCATCTCATCCTGTCACATGCCCAAGTCCCAAGAGCCAGCTTTGTAATAAGCAGTTAAAGGTGAGGTTTCTAACACGGAGCTGTATTTCAAAGTGTGTGTTTCCCAGAACTGAGGGCACCTTGATTCAGCAGAGCCCAGTGACACAGCAGTTGGCTCTGCCCTGTCTGGTCTTCAGTGTCCCCATTTGAGAAGAAAGTCTTGACCTGGATCAGCGGCATGAACCACAGGGGACCATAAGAGTGGTTGACACCAAGGGCAGCTTTTGGTTAGGCTGCCTGTGTGGTGACCAGCTGTTCTGCCTACTGAGAAAGAGGGATGTGGGGCCGGGGAGATAGCTCAGGATAATAAGCGCTTGCCTGGCAAGCGCAGGGTCCTGAGTTCAATCCCCAGTTCCACCAAAAAAAAAAAAAAAAGAGGAATGTTCTGTTCTGCCAAGCAGCCATCTGGGAGTTGGCATCCAGGCTGCCCTCACCGTCACTCCCGATCACTCTGCCTACCTCTGCTCAGCATTCCTGGCAGAACCCACTCACCCTGACTGGACCTGGAGGCCCCTGGCTCCTCCATGAGTGTCGCCAGCAGCCTTGGGAACAAGCTGTGCTCGACAGTCTGAGCATATAGGCCTGCCCTATATGCCTCAGGGCATATGGCACCGTACAGTTAGGGAGTACAGCAGATAGCAGGTGGCTAGCCTTCAGCCAATGTCTATGCAAGGCATTCTGAATTTTTATCCAGAAACATCATAACCACAATGAGCTGTCTAGTCTTTGCTTTCCAGGTCCAAGGATGCCACTGCCTTTGCCGCATACTCATGTATGTTTGTAAGTGGCTCACTCTAATCCATGTGAGCCTTGAACTCACAGTGTAGCCCAGGATTCCACTGAACTCTTAATCCTCCTTCCTTTCAGCCTCCCAAGTGCTCGGATGACAGACATGTGCCACCATGCCTGGCTGTAACTGTGTCATCCTTTAGATAGCCAGTTCCCCTCTTCTAATGACCCCCATGGTGAGCTCAGCCTGAATCACCACCAGTCTTGCTTGTTTTGCTCTGGGACCAGAATGCAACAAAGCTATGTGCATCTTGCCCCCCATGTCTCCTCCCACTGAAGCTTGGAGGCAGCAGTGTGCTAGTTAAGCTGAGGCAGGGATATTGGAGGAATGGTGATGAGACAGTCTGAGGTCACCCTGATGAAAAGCACTAAAAGTTCTAAGAGGCAACATTTTTTTCTAGAAAACAGTGTTATGGGAGGTGAGAATCATAACCCAGTGTCACTCTGTTGACCTTGTATTGGAAGGAGAGTTGGAGTTTCAGGTCACAGGAAATCATCCAGATGTTAAAGGGGAAATGTGTGTGAAAGTCTCTTATACCCAGGCTCCTCGACTTTAGACAGGATTACATCCTAACAAACCCATTCTAAGTTGGAAATATGGGAAATTTTTTAAAAAGTACTCAACCTACCTCACCTACCAAACCATAGCACAATGCTCCAAAGAAGTTGGGCAGTCCACCTTCAACCTTGGGGCTCACTGGAAGCCACTGCTCGGTGCCACTGCCTGGCATAGTAAAGAACTGTGCCACATACCACCAGTCCTGGAAAAGACCTAAGAAAATGCAAAGTATGGTTTCCACTTTTTTGTTGAGGGGCAGGGTTGCTATATAGTTCAGACTAGCCTTGAACTCACTGTGTAGCACAGACTGGCCTCAAACTCATGGCAATCCTGCCTTATCCTCCTGAGTGCTAGGATTACAGGTAAGCACCACCATGCACTGGCTTTCACTGAATGCATATCACTTTCATATCAGAAATTCAAAAAACATTGTTAGTGACTTATCTTAAGTGGCTGTTTTATTAATGAATACTGCATGCAGAAAGGTATAAAATGGATTTTCATCGAAGTGACTTTATGCCCAGGGCCAGGTCAAGAAACAAATTCCCAGCCCTCCAGGAGTCCACTCTGTATGCCTCATGGCTGTGGTCCCTCTTTCAGGCCACAACCCCCACACCCTAGCACAGAGGTGCCCCCACAATGGCCAGCTGTCAGGATGGATGTTGTGTATTGTTCTCCTGTTAACACAGAGCTGCCCAAAGCATCCTGGGGTCCTTGTCCACCCTGGGAATGGGATTGCTGGCCCAGGGTGTATGAGTGGCACTGAGGACTGGGGTTGATCCCTACACTTGAATGGCCTCAGGTTGTCGTAAAAAGTACTTTCTGCCTTTCCCTTCAGAGCAGTTTTACTTTTTATTATGTTATTTTTTGAAACAAAATCTTGCTATGGCCGGGAGTGTAGCTCACTGGCACAGTGCCTAACTGACAAGCGCAAGGTGCCGAGTTCAATTCTTGATACTAAAAAAAAGTCTTGCTATGTAGCCAGGTGTCTCAGTTACTCCTCTCTGCTGGGACAAATACCCAACACCCAAATGAAGGAAGGAAAGGTTTATCTGGCTCACAGTCAGTGGTGGCAGCTCAGCCAGCCAGCTAGCCTCTCCCTTCTCCCCTCTCCTTACATTGTTACACAAATTACCTGCTCCATGGCAGGTGCAGCATCCGCACCCACCACAATCAATCACAAACTCTGGAAGCTGCCCCGTGACTGTGAGGCTTTGGGCTGAAGTCTGGACATAAAACATAGCACGACCACTTGTCTCTGGCTGCGAAGTCTGTGTGTTGGACACTCCACCATCACAAAGGGGTCCTCACCCTGGCTTTGTGCCATCCTCAGTGTCTAGTCTCTCCCTGCACTAGACCACTGGGAGCTTTGGGGGGACTTTAAGACAGCCTAGTGGCATGACACTGCCCTCTGCTGGTTGACCACAAGCGTTCGCACCACACACTCAGGCAGTCATTTGCTAAGGGAAACAGCAGGAAAGATTTTGAGAGTGCAAGCTTTTGAGAGAAGAGAAGAGGGTGCACCTGTGCCAGCATGCGTCTTGGTGCCCATGTGAGACCTACAAGGCGGCCTTCCCCTGGAGACCTGGGAGCAGAAGCTGGGCAGGGCTCTGTAAGGGGTAGTGCCTGAGTTTAGCTGCCATGTGTGGTTTTTGTCTTGTTTTTTTGTTTCCTTTTGTTTGTTTTTTTCCACAAGATCTCTGTCTCTAGCAATTGGCATCAGCCCAAACCAACAAGGTTTTAATTTTGCTAGGTTTTTTTGTTTGTTTGTTTGTTTTTTTTATCCTATCATTCAGGATTTGGCTCTGCAAGAGCCTGAGTCTTCATTTCCCCCAAGTCTGAGCTTTTCTGTTAGCTGGAGCTCTTCTGCCTGGTCTGATCCACTAGGTTCTGAGTTTCCCATGTTTAGGAGATGATGGGCTTATAAATGCCGAGAGCCAGGTGTTACACACTGACCTGTGCAAGCCACTGTGACACATGTAATCTGGAACACTTTTTTCTAAGCAAACTTAGGACACCAAGGCAGTCTCAAAGATAGACCTTATGCTTTCCATGTCTTTACCCACCTTACTTAAAATTCCTATCAGGAGCCTTCCATAAACCTTTTGTTTTTCTTTCCCCAGAGTGATGCAAATGGGACCGCCAAGCCACCTTTCCTCAGGTATGCACACACCTCCTGACAGGTGACTAGCCAGTGGTGTCCTCCTCCATGCAGCGCCCAGCCCAGGAGACCCAGCCTGAGCAGTCCTGTTTGTGGGGTCAAAAAAAACTATGGCCACCTTTCTCTTCACCACTTCAGTCCCTCCTGGAAGTAGGGCCTAGAAGAGACAGGGCACTGTGGCATATGCCTGGATCTGGGCCACCCAGGAAGGCTCTACATGTGGCCTTTGTCCTGGTAGAAGACTGAAGAGTTGTGGGCTCTCAGGTGTCATTACAGAAGCTGTGGGATTAGGCCAGCCGAGGCAGCACACACCTGTGACCCCAGCACTGAAGCAGTCAGTGGCAGGATGATCACAAGCTGAAGCCCACTGTTCAGCAAATAGGAGAGTCTCAAAATGTTGAAAAGGGCTGCGATGTAACAGTGCAAAGATCTACAGTTGTCCCCAGAACCAAAATTTTAAAAAGACAAAACTTTGGCGTATTCTCTAAATGCTGGCATGGAGAGAACTGCCAGAGGCTCTCATACTTCAAAATGCCACCCAGAAACACAGTAAGATAGTGAGCAACATGATTTCCTAAGGCCAGGGCAGTAGGTATTAGTACTAACTTCCTGTCTTGGAGCAGTGTTTCTATACAGATTTTTTTTTTCTTTCTCTCCTATAGTGGGGAAAACCCCTTTGCTACTGTGAAACTCCGACCCACAGTGACAAATGATCGATCAGCACCGATCATTCGATGAAGATGTCAAGGATTCTCCTGGTTCCTCTACTGTTCAGTTCTCGCCTGTAAAATGATAGGGATCCATTGTGTGACAAGTTCTGGGACTGTTGGAAGCTTCACCAGGTGCCTGATTTCAGTGTATCCTACTTGAGCAAATCAATGCATTTTCTCAGTTAACATAATTGAGCACACACATTTCTGTAAAGATAACAGTATAGTAGCCAGCTCAATCATTTAAAATATTTTCTTCCTGCTCTAAAACTAGTAAATTTTGTTCCAATCCCTAGTGTATCTGTTTTTAATATTCTATGATTTTTCTAAGTTGCAGCCAGAGTAAGAGATAAGTCTGTGCTTCCAATGACTGGCTTTCTATATATTAACACAAATCAGACCAGTTCTATTTTATAAAGCATGTGCTCTTAAGTAGCATTATGTTTATCTACAGAAAACATTGTGTAAGTTTGCATCATAGCATGCAGATCATAATTTTAAGCAATATAAATTATGAAAAATGTATTAAATATAATTTTTTAACTTAATAATTTTAAACTCTTGCTTAAACATAGAGATCCCCAAGATGGAGGGGGCCTGACTGCCCCGACTTAGAGCTGGAGTTCTGATACATTTATCTGCTTTCCTCATAGCCATACTTAACATCCCATGTTGAAGAGTTACAGGCTGGCTTTCCGGTGGCCTGGCACATTGGAAATACGCTCTCCCTGAGCCAGGGGCCCAAAGCTGCAGCAACTGGCTTACTGGGAAACCTCTTGGGGCCCAAGTCTGTGTGCGTTTCAATCAGATACTAACTCTCAAAGCCATTTAATGAAGCCAGGATGACTTTGGTGACCCCTGAAGGTCAAAGCCTGTATTTCAGCATGAAATCACATTCAAGATTCTGGTCAGGCCTCTGTGCCCAGGGGCTGTGCCCTTGGCTGCCAAGGACCAGCAGATCACAGTTCACACCCAGGCCACTCACTGGGTGTAGGGGAAGGAGCTGTTGCGTATCATGATCTTTTCACTTCTGTTCTTCTGCAAGTTGAAAATTGGTTAAGTTTCAGTAATGGCAGTAAACCAGTAGACATGAGACTTGAAGCAGGGTTGGGCTCTCCTGGGAGGACAGCTCAGGTGACTCCATGAGGAGCTGCTGCACACCCTCCCTGTCATGAAGCACCATCTTGAAAGGTGCCCCAGCCACGTTTCAAATTATATAGGTTGGGTCCCACCATTTCCAAAACACAAGAGCAGAGTTAATGGGAGCCTGCTATCCTAGCAGTGAACAAATGAGGGGGGCAGACTCTGGAAATGTGTGAAGACTGGAGAACATGGGTAAGGTCTTCTGGCTTTGTTACTGGGGTCTGGGGAAAAGCCCCAGGTCTATTTGCTGCATTTCAGGGCCATTCAAGAGCTCGCTCGTGGGGGCCGCTGGGCCTACACTGAGGCCATGTTCTGCAGTTGTCAGTGTTACGGTTTAATGTCGTTAATAAAGGGGAATTTGAAACCTTTGTTCTTGGGCTGTCAGTGCCAGCTGAGGAGCACACAGCCTCCTAACTGGTCTGCTTGTCAAACTTGACGAGGGTCCACATGGCAGCAGGCAAACTGAACAAGCAGAAGGAGCTGAACAGTGGTATGAATCATTTATTTAAAACAGTATTTCTCACCTTTCTCAAATTGAAGACTGCAAAAAAATAAAAGCAATGTTTTCTTGAGCTGTCGTTAACCTGGAGAGCACTGCTGCTGCCTCCGACCCTCCGCATGACCTAGCTGGCACATGCCAAAGCGATCCCACCTCACTTTACAAAACAGTCCTGAAGCTTAGTCAAATAAAACTACTGTATACAACATTTACATTAGAAAAGATAGCTGGCCCTCAGGAAGCCAGGTGTGTTCTCTTAGGTGAAGGTTGCACCGCAGTTGGGACATCTCCGCTTCCTTAAGGCAAAGCAGCAGATGAACCCAAAGGGAAACAAGATGATGGCCAAGAAGATGCCCAGGAAGGTGAAGCAGTCTTCCAGGACGCCAACTCTGTGGAGAGAAGAGGCATGAGGGTTGGCACCCACACCCCCACACCTGCCAGTACCCAAAACAGCTGGTGACCTACAGGAAGGCAGGCCTGGGAAAGGCGGCCCTAACCCAAGCCACTGCACTAGACAAGAGTCCGCGCTTCGTGACGTGAGGAAAGAGGGACAAGATGCAAATGCTAGTTTCTATTGAAACTCCTAGGTTGGGAGATAGCTCAGTAAAATAAGCACTTGCCTGGCAAGTGCAAGGTCCTGAGTTCAATCCCTGGCACCACAAAAAAAAAAAAAAGAAAAAAGAAAAAGAAAAAGAAAACTCCTGCACTCTGTAAACAGTAGCACCCCAAACCAAATTATTTAGTAGAGTATTTTTTCAAACCCTGTTGAAATTTTAGATTTTTTTTCCATGCCCAAGGAAAATGCCATCCAAAAAAAGGGATTAGGCTCTGGGCTTTTGTTTCAATACTAAGGACTGAACTCAAGGCCTTTGCACTGAGCTATGTGGCCCCAGTTCCTCAAGGTCTTAAGTTGCCTGGACTCACACTTGTGACCCTTCTGCTCCAGGCTCTCAGAGTATGCTTTTCTTTTGTTTAAATTGGTGGTTGGGTGAGGGAAAGACTTAAATCAGCCATGTTCATACAATGTCAGAAGGCCTCGTGAGATTTCATCTCAAGGATGGGGCTTCATAAAAAAAAGGCTACCTTCTCTGTGTGGGATACATGTCCCACTGAACAGTTTCAGTGACCTGAGGTCATTGCTCAGTAATGGGTCTTTTCAGAGGCTCCAAAGATAGGAAACAGGAGCCCTGTAAAGGTCACACATGTAAATAGCTCCTCAGGCCATTTCTGGAGAGTTCTGGACCCACAGCTGAAATTAAAATGAGGCCCACATAAACACAAATGAGAAAAGTGTCCCTCCACCAGTAAGGTTTCAGCACACACGAGACCAGGCTCTGTGCTTACGCTCTTCCTTCATGAGGGACAATGCCTTTGTGAGGGGACAAGGACAGAAAATAAGGTTAGAGATGACATGGGGGGACGAGAGGGGAAGTAGAGCTGTCACAAGAGAAAAGGGAGCAGGGGCTCCAGGGACTCTGCAAAGGAAAACCTAGTGAGTTCTCCTTTGCTAAGGGGAGAGAACGGCCCGAAGCCCCCACACCCATCCTGAGTCCAGTGTCTCTGGAGCAAGCAGCTTCCTTTAGCAGCACTGTCCACCCCCAACAGTCTTTAACTGCCCCTTTTCCTACCTGGACCTGAAAGCGACTGCTGCTGCTCCTCACCTTATGTAGAGAGGGGAGGGAAGCTCACAACTTAAAAGATCAAGCAGAAGGGTAAACAGAAGGAACAGACTGGTGGGGGCCTTTCTTGCCAAGCCCGGGCACACACAGCCCAACGAGGATCCCCACGTGAGCCTGCACATTGTGGCCCACTCCCTGACCTGAACCAGGACCTGCCCACTCCCTGCTCTGGGGGAGAATAGAGATGCAATGAAATAAACACAGACATTCTGAAAGTCTTGATCTCACCTGCTAAGAACTCAAACCCAGTGCCTGCTTCAACTCACCCAGCTGCCCAAACAAACCCATAATAGGAAGTTGCCGCTGCATTCTCCTTATCACTGACCCCCGGCCCCCCCCAAAGCCCTGCAGGAGGTTCAGAGGCTCCCAAGCTGGAGACACTTTCTGTTCTAGGAGTGCCATCTACCCACAGGCTCTGCAGCCCAGTAAAAACTTGTGGAGAGCTCTGCTGTACCCCAACTCCTCTGGGTGTCACCCTGCTGAGCTGGGACACAGGCATCCATCCCTATGCTAAGGCAGTGCTTAGCAGAAGCAGTTTGTGCTGTCCAAGTCACCACTCTGTGATTTTAACAAAAGTACCCTCTCCTAAGAACCACAAAGTGACCCAGTACTCCTGCTTTCCAAGCCCTGCCACCTCTGCAAGCGCGGGCCAGGCAGGACACTCCACCAAACACACACTGCCCAGGCTCAGGGCCTTCTGACCAAGGGTCAGGCTGGCTGAAGTGCCAGCTAGAAAGCAACTGAGGCTATCATGGCCCCTCACTGACCTTAGGCTCAAATGGACAAGATGAGAGGCCAGAGAATTGGTCCTGGGACTGGGAACTCGGGCCCCACTGTTTCTTCCCAGCACCTGCAAGACCATCTGCCTTCAGGTCAAGTCCCCAAAAACAGGTCTGCATATTCAGGCAGAAAATGTCCCATGAGCTGGGCATGATGGCATGCACCTGGAATCCCAGCACTCTTTAAGGCTGAGACAAGAGGATCACAAGTTTGAGCCCAGCCTGTACAATTTATCAAGACTCTGTCTCAAAAATATTTAAAAGGCATTCAAACCCCAGTACTTTGGGGAGAAAAAGTTCTCATGAAAAAGCAAAAAACAAAAGAGAATCTGCCGGAAAACTTTCCAAAGGATAAGCATGACCTCTGAAGAGGTTCCAAAGTACCATACCTATCCCACCATCTATCCTATGTGTGAGGAAACCAGAACCTCCAAGGACCATACAGGTGGGAGGACAGTGACAAGCTGGGCCTCTGTCAGGCTGGGCATGAGAACCTGCAGCACAGTGAGGGGTGGGGCCCAGCTTTTCCTCCAAGGCTGCAAGAGGCTGTACTTGGCGAGTGGGGCCTCGGGGCCCCAGACTACTGCAGAAGCCCCACCAGGGTGTGATGGGGCTGGGATGGGTTTCCTCATCTGCACTCCGCTGGGCTCTCCCCACCAGCAGCAAGGGCACCAGCACTACTTGGCACTGTGATTTCTGACAGGGCCAGGCCACCAGACAGCAAAACTCATGCTGGGAACCTGAAGAGTCGCAGCTTGGCCCAACTGGCTGGCCTGGCCCCCTCAGCCCACAAGCTTCCAGTCCAAACTCACTGTGTGCCCAGGCCAGAGCTCAGAGCCATTGGCTTGTGCCACCCTCTGCTGGCCTCTCAGTCACAAGTGCTGCAAGATGCCTGCAGCCTCCCTACCTCACGTCTCAGTTCACCAACCCTGCAAAAGGAGTGGTGCCATAATCTGGATTTTTAAAACTTAACATCTGACCTGAGAAATACAATCTGGCCTTTAGGCCAATGTAGATTCAGACCTCCAGAGAGCCCTCCTGGGAGAGCAAGCAGGAGACCCAGTGTGTCTCCAACAGCCTCTTTATCTCCAAACCCGAGAGATCCAATTCTGTCCACGGGCTCACCCTAAACCTGGCAGACCTGGCGAGGAGAGGGAGAGGATCAGGGAACTGACATACTGAAAACTCATCTTTAATCCGGTTCAAGCCTCTCAGAGCCACTGGCCACTAGGTCCCCTGATGTGTGCACAGCCAGGTTCTGGGAGGTTCCTGACACCTCACCAGGGACCATATGGGCAGGAAAGGACATGGAGCAAGAGGTGCAGTGAGCTCTGAGCTGCTAGAAACTGACAGCCCTGCCAGATCCCAGGGCCACCAGCCAGAAAAAAAAAAAAGCCCTTACCCCTCCTATGTCCATACAGCAACCTCACTCACTAGGCACCTTGCCCCCACAAGAGGCTGGGAGTGGTGTGGCTGGGTCTGAATCCTGCAAAATCCTGTGGAAAAGGACCCCACTTATGGGCTCAAGACCCTACCTACCCCAAGGCACCAACAGCCATCTCAAGACAGGAGGCTTCCCAGAGTCCACAGCGTCAAAGGACTGCATCCTCCCTCAGGATGAGGAAGCAAGTGCAGGGCTTCCTCTGCTGGCAGCAGCCCTCAAGCCAAGGCTGGGACAGGGCTAGTTGGTCCCCAGACTGCCCAGGGTCTCCACTCCAAAAAGGAGCCCCTTAGTGAACACAGGGAGCTGCCTTCACAGGGACAGTTCACTGCGACCTTGGGGAGAAAACACCTGTCTCTCAGAGGACATTCTCACCACTCACCAGCCCATGCCTGGCATAGCCTCAGCCTCCAAACAGTAGAGGGCAGGAAGGACAGTGTGCAGCAGACTTGTGGGACACTTGGCCTGTGCGACTCCTCCAACCTGGGGTCCAACCATCATGGCTGGGAAGCTGAGCCAGAAAGCAACACAAGCCTCCCTCGGTCTGCACCTTGAGCCTGCAGCCCAAGACAGTCCCCCTACCTCAGGCCAGAACCATCTCAGGCCCAGGAGGGCCCACCCTTCCAAGCCTGTGCAGTCAACTCCAGCGTGCCCAGAGCAAGGCTGGGGCTCAGCTCCCACTCAGGCAGAAAGAGCCCTTCCATTTCCCACTATTGGTCCCTCTGCCTACGAACCTCTCCAGATGCCTTTGTCACCTCATGCCTCAGACACCTCCACCCAGTGCGAGCCATATCCAGGACCTCTGGGCAGCATCTGACCAGGAGAGCTGTATTTCCTCTAGGTTTCCAAGACTCCTCTCCCCAGATTTCCTGCCTTCTGGCCACTCCACAGCTAAACATTCAATGATTTCGACCCAGCCAGCACTTGTGAGGGTCCTGCATGTACCAGGCACATTCCACTTGTCACCTGTTCTCCCAAGCCCCAGCCAACTTGTGCCACCCTTCAGGGCAGAATGGTCTTGCCACACTAGAGCTGCAGAAGCTGCCCTTTCTCCCTGCATGGGGTACAGAAGGGCCCAGCATGTGCCCAGACACAGCATTGGCCAGGCATCCCAAGGGGGCCTCCTGCAGCAGGACAGGGTGCCATTCGGAGGACAGGCAGGAGCCAAGCACAAGACTCACTCGTCTGCCGGGGGTGTAAGAAATGCTTATCAACAGCTAAAAAAGGAAGGTGGAGTCAGGCGCTTGACAGGCTCAGACAAGATGGCAAAGTGACAAGCGACATGGGGCTCTTATGCCAAGCTCGTTCAGAGGGAATCACAGAAGTATGACTTGAGCAAATGCATGTTAAGCCACCAGGGAGGGAAGGCACAGTGCCTGCAGGCTGGATCTAGAAAGGGAGGAAGCATGGTCATGTGAGAAGTGTCCTGTTGCCCAGCCCTAAGACAACCAGACAGGGACAGGCTTCCCTCTTTTCAAGGGAAATCTCTGTATTGTCACCACAGAGGAGTAGCCCAAGGGCCACACACCCTTTCCCCAGACCTAAAGCAGTACTGGCTGTCCCTTCACTAAAGGCTGCTGCTACAGTGGTGGCCTCAGAGAGTGAGGGGCCAGTGGCAGAGGGCACTGTAGCCAGAAGGTGGGGCCTCTGTGTGTGTAGACCTCCAGGGGCCTAGAGGGTCGTTTCTCTGGGGAGGACACGGTCAGAGGCTGAGGCAGGGGATCCCCAAGTCTAAGTCTAGTCCAGGCAACTTAGTGAGACCCTGTGTCCTAAAAACAAAAAGTTGGAGAGGGGCGCCCTGGATACAGTTCCAAGGTTCTATCCCCAGTCCTGAAAAGGAAAGGTACATCAGTGGTGCCAAGAGCTCTGACCAAGCTTTTTTTTGGGGGGTGGGGGATGGGGTAGGGGGCAGTACTAAAGACTGAACCCAAGGCCTTTACTTTGAGTGAGATACATCTCCAACCTTTTATTATTTTGAGGCAGGGTCTTGCTAAGCCACCCAGAGTGGCTTCAGACTAGCCTCAGCCTTCCAGAGTGTTGGGGTTACCAGCACACCTGACTTCTGGCACACTCCCCTCAAGAACTGAGCACCCCCAAACTTGTTCTCCAAGGACCCAGTGTCCTCTCCCACTGCCCCGGGGCACAGAGGAAGCTGCCAGTTTCCAGATGAAGATGGTACTCCACAAGGGCCCAAGACCTTCCCCTGAGGGCACAGGGCAGCATGACCCTGTTCCAGGTTCTGTGTAACTGGAGAGCCCCCTAAGCGGAAGCCACAGGCCTCTGAAATGACACAACTCACCTCTTATGGAAGGGGAAGTAACAGGGAAAGGGCTCCCCATGCTGGCAGCAGCCGAGCCTCCACTGGCCCCAGTGCCCTGGTGCTTGCCTCCCCTCCTCCAAGCTCAGGTGCTGCAGCAGACCAGAGCCTCGGACGTCTCATTTCCCAGACAGGGAGACAAAGCCCGCTGCATGTGGCAGGGCCAGGATGTGACCTCAGCTCCTCCAGTTGACAGGCCCTTCATTCAAGATGCCATGAAATCCCAATCAGACCCCCTATGCTCCAGGCTTTTTTTCCCCTTAACTATACTGGGGATTAAATCCAAGGCCTTCACACTTCACACATATCCACAGCCATTTTTTTATTTTTAAGACCTGCTCTCACCAAATTGCTAAATTGCCAAGGCTGGGCTCATAGCTGTGATCCCCTTGCCTCAGCCTCCCAGAGTGCTGGGATTACAGGCTCTAGCACACCACCCAGGCTACAGGCATCTCTCTGATCCTCCCTCTGGTGGCCCAACCCAACACCTCTCCTAAACTTGAGAGATCATTCAAAATGCTCCCTCCCAAAAATGGGCCATCAGAATCTTCCAGCTAGGCTGAAGAGTGACACCACCCCAAGCAGAACAAGGGTTGCGTGTCCAGGACTAACCTCAAAGCTCAACACAGAGGCTGTCCAGCCCCCATCTCTATACCCATCTCTCCAGGTTTTCCCAATGGCTTTGAGCACAGTGCATGGCCTTCCTGACTGTGCCCCTCTTCTCTACCAAGTGCAGCCCTGCAGACACCTGCACGGCAGGCAGCCACTTTGCTGCCCTCTTTTCTTCCCTCTTCCGGATCTCCAGTGTGTCCTGGCTGGGGTCCACCAGTGGGTGCACTGGGTAGGCCACACCTCCTTTACCAGCTCTCAGTTCAGGCCTTTTACCCTCTTCTCATACCACCCTCCTATACAGTTGCCTCCAGGGCTCTGAAATCATTAACTTCTCCAGGGCTCCACTGTGGGCCTGACACATAAAACTTCTGAAATGACTTTAAGTCCAAACCAGGGCAGTTTCTTAACCCCATCTCAGCAACTTCGACTTCCTGCTCCCCAAGGAGTGCTGAAACCCAGCCCTGTCAACTCTGCCCAGACCTTCCCAACCATCTGAGCACCCCCAAGTGCCAAGGGCAAGAACCAAGTCTCACCTGATCTTGAATCAAGACCTACACAAAACGAGTCTTGTGCTGGACCTCTGGCTCCAGAAAAATAATCCTCAAAGTTTCTTGCGGCTCCAGTTTGAGGATATGAAAAAAGGCCACTCCAGCCCGGAACAAAGACCCACAGGCTTTCCTCCTGGGCCAGCTAGCGGCGGAAAGTTAGCCTCGCTGGGATTCAGCGACCCTCACAGCTGTAGCCTCTCTGGCCACCTGCACTCCCACTCCGACCCCAGCTCCTTCATAAACACAAGGGCCACCTGACTCAGGTCCTGGGCAAAACAAACCTCCTATCTCCTTAGGAAATCAACGGCACAGTGAACTTGCAGAAATTGGAAAGGGGGGGGGGGGGCAAGGAACGACGATTCGTGGGTTCCCATTGTTAGCGTTTCTGCTTCCCGCTCACTCATTTGGGTGCAATGCCCCAAAATGCACTCAGCTCCCAGGAAAGCGAGCCAACCGCCCTGCCGCACAAGTTACATTCAGAGCCCCGGGACAGCGCGCGTGCCGACTCCCTCCGTGCAGCCTGTAGCCAAGGTGCCTCTGGACCCCAGCCGGCTCCCCCAAGCCGGCTCCCCCAAGCCGAGCTCCCCCAAGCCGAGCTCCCCTCGAGAGCACGCTGGGCCGCCCCGGGCTGGGACTCACCTGCACACCGGGCAGCCTCCGACGACGACGATGGAGTTGGCGGGGTACCGAGTGACAGTCCGGCCGTGGATACTGTACACCCTGGGGTGCGGGGTGGGAATCCCTGTGGGGGAGGGGAGCACATCAGCGCGGGGTGGGAGCAGCGCCCCGCCCTGCCCTGTAGCCACTAGTCAGCCGCCCGGGGCGCCGCGGGGGGTCCGCGAGGTAGTGGCGCGCCCCGGCGGGTGCCCCCGAGAGCGCGCGCGCGCGCCGACCCAAGCCCACCTGTGACGAGGTAAGGGTAGGGCGGCGGCGGGGGCGCGCTCGGGATGGCGCCGTAGCCGGGCGCGCCGCACGCGTAGTCGCCCTGGCCGGCCTCCAGGTTGTAGGCGGGCGGCCGCTCCTGCAGCAGCGGCTTGTGGTCCATGGCGGTCCGGCCCGCCCGACCGCCCGCTTCGGCCCGGCCCAGCCCGGCTCGCTGGCCCGCGGGGACACGGCGGCGGGGACGGCTGCAGCCCCGGGCGGCTCGGCCCAGTGAGGCGGGGCGGACTCCGCCCCCGTGGTCACAAGACCCGAATCACGTGGGCGACGCGAGGCGGGACCTCCAGGCGTCTTAAAGGGGCCGCGACTGAGTGTGCCCCGGCACTCTCCTCCCGGAGCGGACCGAACAGTGGACGGTCTGGTTGTTGTGACCTTTACGGCCCGCAGAGACCATGGGACGAACCATAGCCCCCACTCCTCTCTGCCAGCAGCGGCCCAGACTACTTGGCCAGCGCCTGGGGAACGCTAGGTGTAGCGTCCCCCCTCTCCAGGCCTGCCCTGTGCCCAGCTGCGCACATTATCCTTTTTTTTTTTTTTCCAGGACTAAATGGGGCGCCTACAGGATTGTAAAGCGAGTGTGTGCTGGCCCTTGCCTGTAATCCTAGCCTTGGAGGCAGAGGCAGGAGGACTGCAAATTCAAGCCAGTCTGGCAACTTGGTGATTTAGCGAGACCCTGCCCAGAATTTTAAATAATGATGAAGATGATGATGATGCTGGTTGAGATGTAGCTCAGTGCTTAAGCTCCAGGTTGAAGAAACCCCAACTACAACAACAAAGACTATTGTTGGAGTGAGGCCAAGAGCTCCTGGTGGAGCAGAGATCCCAGCCCTCGCTCTTGAGGCTACAACCCGAAGGTGAGCAACAGGGTGTGTGGGTGGGGAACCTGGCTGCAGCCTGGTGCCTCATAACTGGAGAGGTGGGCACAGGTCGGGCTTCCTGACACCTGATCACCGGGGGACCTGCAGGCTTCCCAGTCTTGCTAACCCCTGGAGAGCAGGTGATGGGCTGTCCTGTCCTGCCCTGCACAAGTTTGGCAGATTTTGTGCTTGAGTAACTTTCCCTGGTCACGTGCCTGCCAATACAAACGCAAAAAGCCACAGCCTCTGGCGCCCTATGTCCCAATAAGTGATCCCCTAACCCCACCCCCGCACGGGCCCACACTCGCGTGCCCTGGCCCTAATTAAAAATCCAAATTAGTAGATTTCTGCATGGGGCCTTGAGATTTCCCAACACTTGCTTTGAGAAATGCAGCTCACAGCCACAAAGCAGCCAGGCCCTCTCTCAGCCTGTATCACTGGGTTCCACGTGCAAGACTTGGAGGACAAAGGTGAGGCTCAGCCAGTCGGGAAGCTGAAAGCTGCAGAGCAGTGATGTGTGTGCAGTGAGAGTCAGAGGTGCCACACAAGGAGGCCACGAGCCTGGGTGTTCCAAGGGGGCCAGGGCTAAAGCCTCACTTAGAGGCCAGTGGTCAGCTGGCCCCAGAGACCAGCACAGGAACCTTGCAGGCAGTGTGAAGTGCAGTCCCAGAGGCTGGCATCAGGCAACCAGTTCTGTGCCAGGACTCCGTGTCACTTGGCCTACCCAGAGCACTGAAACAGTCTTCAGGGCTCGGAGGAGAACCCAGATATTGGGTCAAGAGAGGGTCTGTAAGAGCCTATTGGGAACTTCGTGGCTGGCTTGTAAATGGGGGGGGGTGCGTGTGCACATCAGATTAGCATGTTAGAACAATGAATTTGGCGGCAGCAGGCAAAGAAGAGGGGAAAGGAAAGGTGTGAGAGAGGTCAAGAGCCCATTAAGACTAGTGGGCAGATAAGGAACTGAAGGGCCAGCTTTCCTGCTTGCGAGATGGCACATCCAGGTGCTTGCATCTGGCAGTAGACGCGAGCGCCACATGAACACCCAGGCAGCCCAGATCACGCAGGTGCGCTGGAGCTGAGCCCAGATCGCTAGGCGGCACCTGACGAAGCTGAATGAGGCTGTGTGCAGGGGTTTTTGCTAAAAAGTTGGTGACATCTCGTTGCGGCGTGGCAGCACACGCCTGTAATCCCAGCACTGAGGAGGCTCAGGCAGGAGGAGCGCCAGCCTGGGCAGCATAATCTGAGGCCAGCCTGAACTGCACAGCAAGGTCTCAAAACAAACAAAGTTGGTGACAGGGTAAATAAGGACCAAAATGTAGAATATTGTGAAGCAGGAGGAACATGGGAAAGGGAACTGGGAAGGGGGAAAGGAAGGAAGGGAAAAGAAAAATTGGAAACAAAGCTTTTGTAAATAAAAAGGAAGAGGGGTTGAAAGGACAATAGGCAAATGGAAAAAATAATCAAATTGTATCATGTAGGCAAATGGAAAAAATAATCCTATGAGGGGCAACCAGTTCTGTGCCAGGACAAATTCCCTATGAGGATGGTGATAATAATGTATACCCAAAATGTACCAATAAACAATTTTTTTAAAAGTTGGTAGCATCTCGTGGCAGCTCACTGGTGCAGCATCTGTGGAGCACCTCACCTGTGTGGGGACAATGTGGAACACACCTTGCTTGTGAAGTTGAGGACTCTTAGGATGTGAGTGGCTCCATTGGAAGGGGACATTTGAGCAAAGACTGAGACCCTAGGGAGTTGGTGTGCGCAGGTGGAAGGGCCCAACTGTGCACACCCAAGGCAGATGGAGAAGCACCAGGAAGAGGGGCGAGGGGACCGCCCTGTGTACGCCCATGGGTGGCCAAGTGCATGTGGGGGAGGGGGGGGGTCTTCTGATGGCTGCTAGTTTTTCTGAAACAGAAAAGGAGGCCAGCAGCTGAGACTGAGTGGAGAGGAGGAGGTGTTGGGAGTCTGAGAGCAGCAGACAGTCCAGAGGTCCCCCAGGATGGAGCTTGAGGTGGCCAGAGTGTCCCAAGGTGACCCCCTCTGCCCCAGTGCTGCTCACGCTCTGCAGAGGAAGCCAGAGCACAGAGGACTTCCCTAGCTTTCCCTCAGACTCCATGGCTCCACCTCACATACCCCAAAGCCATGCCACACTGCCCTTGTGGCAGGTTCACCAGAAAAGCCACATGCTACTTGATGATTTTGGCAGAAATACATTCCTATCAAGATGCAATACAGTCTACTTAGAACACACGTCTTCTGTGTGCATTTTCTCAGAGCGGAGCCAACACTCTGCTCTTTACCCACTTACATATCACAGGAATATAAAAAAATAAGTTGTTTCTAGCTGGGAGTGGTGGTGCACACCTGTAATGCCAGCACTCTGGGAGGCTGAGGCAAGAGGATCACAAGTTCAAATCCAGCTTGGCAATTAGTGACTTAGCAAGACACTGTCTCAAAATTAAAAAAAATAATAATAATAATTTAAAGGGGGTTGGAAATATAGTTCAGTCTGAAGGCCCTGAGTTCTATCCCCAGTATCACCCACCTCTTGAAAAGAATTTTTTTTTTGTTTTTAATACTGCTATTTCCAAAAAGAAAAGAAAAATCACACATAACTATAACTTTGAGTGAGTGGAAGGGTTTTCCTCTAGGGAGGAAGAAGAGAGAAGTCAGGTGGGGTGGGCTGGCCCTTGCCTAGAAAAAATGTGATTGTCCCCAAATCTTGCCAGTCCACGTGACTCTCCTCAGATGTGCCGGGGAGGCTGAGACAGGCTCCTGCCCTTTCCTGCAGACTCTAGACAAGAGCTGATAATGCACCATGAGCACTGTTTGGCACAGCCGGGACCTGGCAGTTCACGTGCTTGGGCCTGTGACCAAGAGAAGGAAGCAAATACTATTTCAAAATCCAAGGCTGCAACCAACTACCAGTGCCTTGCTCGGGGAAGGGCCTTGCCAAATGTTTGCTGAATAGTTGCTAAATATTTATCTTAGATAAACATGTTTAAATTTTATAGTAAGCCTGTGGTAAGCTTCACAATTCTACTAGGCAAACATTTCTAAATATTTTATATTAAGAACGTAAATTACTCTATGACACCTGGCAGCGCCTCTTTGGCTGACTTGCATGACAATGTGGTCACAAGTTACATGTGTACATATTTAGATCTACAAGGAGTGGTCAAAATATCAAGTGCCATGCATCTAAGCAGGCATCCTCTGGGTTTGGGTGTTGTAGATGCAGGAGGGATTGGGTGTGACCAGGAGAATAGCTGGTTTCCATCCAGACACCCTGTGCCACTGCGCCCCATGAGCCAGGCCTCCTTAAATCAGATACTTCAAACATCTCATAGTATCTTTTTTTGTGAGAACAGCCAAAGAATTCCCTTTTCTTTTGTGGAGAGAGGAAGGCAATACTAGGGATTGAACTCAGGGCCCTCAGCTCCAGCCCTTTTTAAATTTTGAGACAGGGTCTTTCTAAGTCACTAAGCTGTCCAGGCTGGGCTCTAGTTTGGAGTCCTCCTGCCTCAGCTTTCCAGAGTGCTGGGATTACAGGCATTCCCTCAGCACACCTGGGTCAGAATAACAATTTCTGAATGGAATTTTGAGAGAGAAACCAGCATCTGTCAGGTACATGGCCTATGTCGGTGACTCACGTTCAAGTCCTAGTACCACATCTGACCCTGAAGGCCAGGACACAAAGAGATCATGGCCCAACTCTGAGATGACGAAAGATCCTGGCTGCTCACTGAGTCAGGTTCCTTGAACCTCCTGTGGTTTGGGAGTATGTCTTATCGCTGAATCCGAAGCACCCCCTAGATAGTGGGTGTTCATCAAATGTTTAATTGAGCTCAAGGCCATGTGCCCAGGTTCATTTGGCCCATAAGGGAGAATTTAGACCTTCATGTCCTCCAGAATGGCGCTGTGGCCATAGAATTTGAAGGGTATCCTACTTCAGGCTAGAAATATGTCTGGTGGGGTGTGGTTATATAACCTGTAATCCCAGCAGTGGGGAGGCTGAGACAAAAGGATCATTGAGAGTTCAAGACCAGCCTTGGCTACAGAATGAGCTCAAGGCCAGCCTGAACTGCATAGTGAGTCCCTGTCTCTGAAAAAAAAAAAAAAAAAAAAAGGACCGAGGAGATAGCTCAGTAGAATAAGTGCTTGTCTGGCAAGCGCAAGGGCCTGAGTTCAATCCCCAGTTCTGCCAAAAAAAGAAAAAAAGAAATCTGGACTGTTCTAGAAGGCTGTTCCTAGTTTTTAAAAAACATGGGTGCCCAGAAGTAGGGACAAAGTCAGTGAGGCAGGAAAGAAGGAGGTTCCCTAGGGTCATCCTGAATGGAGTTTT